TCCAGTGGCTTGAGAACAAGCCTGAAAGGCCAGATGGTGACTTACTAGGTGATCTCAGTGCACCTAAGTGCACACGAGCTGATTTCCTGACCAGCTGGACACACCCAGCTTCCACTATTTCCAGTGTGGGCTTCGTGGTCCCATCCTGAAGCTAGCCACCGACATCCATTGTTAGGAATTTAAAAGGGGAACTTAAAAGATGTGCTGAGCACCCAAAAGTGGAGTCAGAGGGAGTGGCAGACACCTGACCCCTCTGAAAGCCAGGCCACCTCTGTTTAGGTTCCTAAGCCAGTGTTTAGAAGCTTAACTTTAGGCCCCATCTGTTTGAAAGCTTTGGCCACTGCTCATACTTTCTGTGCAGCTATGGCTATGAGCAAATCATTCCTTTTCCTCTTTGCACAAGATCTGGCCTAAGTGTATCAGCAGTTCCCTGTACTGCCAAGGGTGCCCAGTGCACTTGGTCTTTAAATTTGTGCGTCTCTGGTTTACTGCTGCCTGCCCTTTGCCCTCCTCCGCATATGTTCTCAAGAACATACCGAGCTGCAGAGATGCAGAAGGGGAAACCTGGTAGCATCAAATGAGAGCTTTGTACCTCCTTCTTTTAATGAAGGCAATTTGTTAAAGCACATTGTTTAAATGTGCTGAATTTTGCTTTGGGGGTGGTGCGCGAAGGGAAGGTTGGGAGTTCCTTTCATTCTGCTCTGTTCAGACCCACCTAGTTATTAAGAGGCAAATAAAATCAAAAGCTCAAAGAGTAGGATTCAGTCCCCTGTTAGATAATCATTGCACTCAGGATCAGTTTCTGATACCTGTGCTCTGGTTCAGAAATACCGTACTCCCGGAGTAGTCCCACTGATGTCATGGATACTGGATTATTCAAGTTGAGTGAGGTTATCAGAAATCTGCCCTAAGGGAGCAATGCACCTGTTTGCTCAGGTATAAACTCCCAATGAGATAAGTCCTGTCCAGCATCCATTGCTTTTGAAAATAAATGTCCTGGCTTTCAGAAGTGCTGGGCACCCACAATTCCACCTGACATCCATGGGAGGTATTAGTGCTCAACACCTTTGGAAATCATGCCCAACATTGGCATTGATGGGTATATCTACACAGCAGCTGGGAGCTCTGTGTAAGCTAGCACAATAAAAATAGGAGCTAGCTACCCGAGTCCATTCCCACCTGACTTCTGAGTCCATAGTTGGATGGCTAGCCCATGCTCCAGCGTCCACGCTGCTATCTTAAGCAAAGCTAGTGCATGCCTGGAAGAGGCCCTCAGCTACAGTGCAGACGTGCCCTATGAGTCAATTGCTGGCAGCAGCTACCTTGCTAAAAGAGAAAAAAAGAAAGAAGCCACCATTTCTGGTCCTGCTGTCATGAGGTAGCAATGTCAGAGCCTGCAGAGTAGCTTCTAACCATGCACAGAACTTTACTGTTAAAAAATAAAAGTCCTGATTGTCTTCTCCCTTACATGGGGTGAATCAGGAGTTGTACTATATTCCGCTGCTCCCACATTGCTGCCAGAGTTCAGCTTGGGCAGCTTTGGGCTGGGCACCTACCGAGCAACGGGGTTGCTTTGCGGTGCTGAGCACTTGGCATTTTCAGCACAAACTAAGCTAAAAACGACCCCATGGCACAGCTCTGTGTGACTCTGCCCTTACCGTCCTCATTTCAGTGTCCAAGGGATTCATTTAAATATGCTAATTAGTGATTTGCATACACCGATGCACAGCTGGAAAAGTCTAAGTTTTCTGCTATCTGCTCAGCATTATATCCAAGGAAGGATGGTGGCTGCTGCTGCTGATGGGGGCTCTGGTCAAAAGGATAGATCTGCCGGTTGGTGCGGGGAATGCAGAGTCCAGGTCAGGGAAACTCTCTGCAAAGCTATTGTCACTGGCACTTTTTTGTGAACATGTTTTTTTCTCTTCCGTGGTCCTCCAGGACCCTCGTTTATAACAGCTGTGAGCAGCATGTGACCCATCTCCCTGAGTCACCCTTCCACCGCCCAGTGGAAGTACCAGACAACTCGCTCCCCTCGGCAAAGGCAACAGGATAGGACACCTGAGCGCCTCTGAGCATGGAATGACAAGAGCCTGTAGAAAAAGCCGGCACGGCTCCCGTGCAATGGGTGAGCTGTTGGGACTCCCTGGCTGCTCCATAGCAGCACAGCCTCTCTCCGTGCACTCCTGGATCACCCAAAGCTGTAGCAGTCAGACTCGAGTGGAGACGGTGGAGAACCCAATGCACAGCTACAGACTAGGGACCGAATGGCTAGGCAGCAGTTCTGCGGAAAAGGACCTAGGGGTGACAGTGGACGAGAAGCTGGATATGAGTCAGCAGTGTGCCCTTGTTGCCAAGAAGGCCAATGGCATTTTGGGATGTATAAGTAGGGGCATAGCGAGCAGATCGAGGGACGTGATCGTTCCCCTCTATTCGACATTGGTGAGGCCTCATCTGGAGTACTGTGTCCAGTTTTGGGCCCCACACTTCAAGAAGGATGTGGATAAATTGGAGAGAGTCCAGCGAAGGGCAACAAAAATGATTAGGGGTCTGGAACATATGAGTTATGAGGAGAGGCTGAGGGAGCTGGGATTGTTTAGCCTGCAGAAGAGAAGAATGAGGGGGGATTTGATAGCTTTTTTCAACTACCTGAAAGGGGGTTCCAAAGAGGATGGCTCTAGACTGTTCTCAATGGTATCAGATGACAGAACGAGGAGTAATGGTCTCAAGTTACAGTGGGGGAGGTTTAGATTGGATATTAGGAAAAACTTTTTCACTATGAGGGTGGTGAAACACTGGAATGCGTTACCTAGGGAGGTGGTAGAATCTCCTTCCTTAGAGGTTTTTAAGGTCAGGCTTGACAAAGCCCTGGCTGGGATGATTTAACTGGGAATTGGTCCTGCTTTGAGCAGGGGGTTGGACTAGATGACCTTCTGGGGTCCCTTCCAACCCTGATATTCTATGATTCTATGATTCTGTGAGGGCTGGTTAGGACTGAGGAGAGGTTCAGGGGGAGGGAAGGTTTTCATCAGGGAAGAAGGAGCTAGTTTGTTTGGGAGAAGGCAGTATCATTATTTATTATTTCTCCTGTGAGAGTGTCTTCGAGCCCCAGTCACGCACCAGGACCCCTCTGCGCTAGGTGCTGTACAAACACGGAACAAAAAGACAGTCCCTGCCCCACAGAGCCGACAATCAAAATAAGCAGGTAGGGAAAAAGATGTGAAATGGAAAGCGAAATTGTGAGGAGAAGGGCAGGCTCAAAAAGATCCCATGACGTTTGTCCAGACCTGAACTCTGATTTTATGTATGTGTCTGTTTATTTATTTATTTTGAGGCTCACCCTCAGCTCGTACTGCAACATTTCCAGCGGCAGCGCTTAACACAGTGCTGCACTGGAGGGACGTGGCGCCGGCACGTGGTAGAACTGGCACATCATTTGCTGCCCCTTGTATTCCCCCCCCCAACCACCAGGGGGCAGCAGTGACATGTACGGTCCCGAACCTGAGACTCAAAGTCTGTCGGCCAACGGCATCAGAGCCTGAGAAATACTGGTGGGCTGGCTCTGTGACAGCGTTTCCAGAAGCTTTGCGTTTTATTATAGAAACAGTTATATGGGAATCTTGTTTCCTTTGGGGGACGGGAGCAGGGTGCAGAGACCCTGGGGGGAGAGGGGTGGTGAAGCAGGAGTGGGTATTTTTATGGTTATGTAGGTCACTGATTTAAAGTATCCTATTATAAGTATCCTCAGACATGTAAACGCTGTTCATCTTCTTGAGGAGTTGCTGAAAGAAAGTGGGTGTGGGGGAAAACTCACAGGACCAGGAGGAGGGTCAAGTTGCTTACAGGGTGTTATCTCATTTCCTCAGTGATTTTAAGTTCGGTGGGGTTTGATATGACTACCCATGTATAGACAGATAGACAGACTTTCAGAGAGAGGAGCCTAAAGTCAGGCTTCTAAAGCCGGTATTTAGGCAACAGAAATTAATGGGCTGAATCTACACAGACACTTACTGTGCAGCCGGTTAATGAGTGGTATATTTACCCCCCAGATTTCCATGAACTAAGTGTTCATGTAATACAAACATTTAGGGTATGTCTACAATACGAAATTAGGTCGATTTTATAGAAGTCGATTTTTAGAATTCAATTTTATACAGTCGATTGCGTACGTCCGCACTAAGCGCATTAAGTCAGCGGAGTGCGTCCTCACTAAGCCCTTTAGGTCGACAGAACGGGGTTGGTGTGTGGACGCAGTCATTTGTAAATCGACCTATTGGAGCTAAATTTGACCTAACCCCGTAGTGTAGACCAGGGCTTAGTTCGCAGCCTTTGAGAAGCCCAATGTGTCAATCAGGAGACAAGACCAGTGGCTGGAAACTTGATGTAATTCTGGATTGACTCCACTGACTACAGCCAGGAGAAAACAGGAGAGTGGGACAGTGGAAAGGAACTGGCTTGGGGAGAAGAACCAGAGGCAGTAGAGTTTCTTGCTGCACAGGAATGATAAAACAGCCGTGAGTTTCACTGTTTCCTTCTCTATACACAAGGATGTTATACGCCACTTTGGTTAAACCCAGCTGAATATCCATCATTTATTTGGGTTTACTTGAAACCCCAAACACTCAGGCTTATAAATTGGTGATCGTAGGAAAGAATTAAATAAATACACTCAGAGTCGTACCCATAGAAGGATTTTTTTTTCATTAAAGAAGCAGGATTTGAGAACAGTTTAATCTTATTGTACATGCAGGTGCGACAGAAAAATGCAGAATTTTCACAACAAATTTTCAAAAATTTTACAAAAAATGTTCATTAAATTTTCAAAAAAACCTCTCACCCAGTCTGTAAGCTGGTCACATTAAAAAAAAAGACAACAATTTTTGAAGAAAAATTCAAGACATCTTTGCATAAATGTTTATGAAAAATTTCAGCCAGCTCTAATTACATGGCTCAGCAAATATTTTCTCTGGACACTGAACATCCTTTTCTGGAGCTCTTCAGTTTCAGCCCAGCAACTCTTTCCACGACCTCTTTACACAGCAAGCGTTCTGCTGAGTGCAGGTTCCAATTTTCTTTTCCCATCGCTTGCATTTCTTGGACCGGCACATGCCACCTTCGAAGCTACACACCATGTAGCTTTGCTGCTTGTCAGGACCTGCAGAAAGAAAAAGAGTTTCTATGACACTTTACATTAATAAATTCCAGAGAGTAGAGATTGTGGTTGCAAGTTAAGAGGGATGGAAGAAATTCTCTAATGATTCGATGATTAATATAATATTGAACGATGAACATAATAAATAAGCTACAGTCTAATGCAAAAACTCTTTGCAGTCCTATATGGGTTCAGATACTGCTGCCAGCAAATTCATTATCCCTACAACAGAGCAACAATCTTAAACTCTGGAACATTTGTAATTATAAGCAAGTAAAGTTGCTAGCTGTAATTAAGGGGCTGCCCACGTGGTAGCTTCTAAAGGCGAGTTGACTGCACATACCAGGGGCTCCTTGCATGCCTCCGTTCCCCTCATAAACACCTTGTGCTGCCCTCCCATCCCCATCTATTTCAGGGACCCCCCCTGCAACTCCCCACACTCTTCCTCATACCAGCAGTTCTGTGTCTTCCCCATTCCCCACTTTCCCCTGATGTCAGGGTCTCTCTGCGTCCCTCCCCCCCCTTTGCCCACCACAAATTTTATTTCTTTTCTTTCTGTCTGGACATAAGTCATTCAGGGTGTCAACATGTTAAACTCTGTTGGGAGGATGGGCAGAGCTGAGGTGGTGGTGGGGACTGTTTTTGCTGGAAGGTGTTAACAGCAGCCATAAACCAGTTCTTTGGTCTAGAGAAAATTACAGAGCTGGCTGAAGCTGCTGGCTCTGCTAACTGCGTGATAGGGGTGCATGTGCCCCCCATTTTCCCTTTCCTGTTTGCTGATTTCCTCCAAAATCTATACGGTTCTGTCCATTGATGCCTAGATTGATCGGATGCAGCATTCAAAAGTTTTCATGTTAAATGCAAACAGAGAAATCCCATCAAGCTGAGCACCAGACCTCACTTTGCTCAGCTAATTAAAGGCTCCGTTACATGACACTCATTTTGATGAGTAGCTCATAGCATAAGTATCACCACTGAAATCAACATGAGTAAGGGCAGTAGAATCAAGCCCCAAACAGAGGTAGCCCAACCATTGTGGATCAAACTAACATGAAACAAGGTCCTGATAAATTCCACCTCTCTTCAGTGAACCTTCCCCTGTATACTAGAGGGAGGAAGAATGATCCAGCAGTTAGGCTGCTATCCTGAGACACCAATTCCCAGCTGTGTCACAATTCGACCGGTGTGTCCTTGGGCAAGTCACTTATTCTCTCCATGCCTCAGTTCCCCATCTTTAAAATGGGGACAATAGCATCTCCCTACCTCACAGGGCTGTTGGGAGGATAAGTGCATTGAAGATGGTGAGCTGCTCAGATACTATGGTGATGTTGGCCATAGAAGTACCACAAGCTTTCTACTGTTGCATCCTGATAGCAAATTCATACAGAATTTAATACGGATGTAGGCCTCGATTCAGCACAGCACGCAAACCTGTGCTTAACTTTAAGTGCCTGACTAACACAATCCCTATTCAGCAGTGAACTTAAGCACATGCTTAATTTTAGGTGTACAAGTTCTTCCCACTGAAGTCAGTGGGACTAGTCACATGCTTACAGAAGGAATCTGTAATACTAAGGGAAATATTTTAAGATAGTTTCTTAACAAACTCCTACTGTGTTTTTCTTTTAAAACAAGATGCCCTTTAGCAATCTGAGTAGCTGTGTTTTCCCTGCCCAGATTCTCTTTATCGGTTGGATGTGGTATACATCTTAACTGCCTTCCCTAACTTGTCATGTTGTTTTGCTGTTTGCTGTTTAGGTGGCTTCATTTCAGCAAGGGGTGAAGTGATTTCTAGGAAGAGTTTGTACAATGAGTTGAAAGGGACTGTATAAGAGTGGGGAGACAGACAGACAGATAGATAGATAGATAGATAGATAGATAGATAGATAGATAGATAGATGATGGCCTAGCATTGGCCACAACCTAGCAGCAGTCTCTCCATAGATGTTTGATAATGTTCTCACACATACACATTGATACACCTATGGATTTTCACATCTTACCTGGGGCCACCTCTGCCTCTGCCTCTTCCTCAGCATCATCCGGGGCTTCATTCCAAGCTTGGGGATCATCCTGGGGCTCTTGCTGATGCTGGCCCTGGACATGGAGCACCAAGAAGACAACAGCAAAGAGAAGGCAAAGGATCTTCATGGCCGAAGATGAGCTGGGATATGAGTGATAGAGGTTCTTCTCAAGAATGAGGATGCTGAGTTCCTTTGTTTATTTAAGCCTATCAAGCAGAGGTGTGAGCAACAGAGGGCGTAGTTCTAGAGGGCGTGAAATTGCTGCAAACTCCCTCTGGTGTTGCCATGATCTGGCCGCTCTGCCCTCAACAACTCGTCCTGTCTATTTACTCTGGACTTGCTACAGATAATCCCCTCTGCTCCCCAGCTGTGTGGCTGTTCACCAGCTGTTGCTGCCTATTGTGCAGATGCCACGTTTGCAGTAGATGGGGTATAACCGGGGATAGTGGGTTCCCTGTGTACTTAGTATTTACTTCACTATGGTATCCGAGCACCTAAAGGCAGTGAAAATTTAGACCAATTACCAATAAAAACATCTTGACATAAGAACGATTTAACTGTGACAGGACATGTCTACATTGTAATTAAAAACCAAGGCCCGGCTGTCTCGGACTTGCGGGGCTCAGGCTAAGGGGCTGTTTCATTGTGGTAGCCCTTCTCTGCACATGTTCCAGTGAGACTACTAAGAACAAGCTTGCACTGGCCTCAGGGGGCCTGACTAGATGACCTAATTGTTCTTCTCTGTGTATAATTTCCTTGATTTTATGCAATTGTGAACATGCCTGCAAAGCACAGGGACCATCCTGGAATACCCAAATACTCTCTTCTGGCCCAACACCATCAGTATTGGCGGGGGATTAGAGGCATGCATCAGCTCCAGTCTTCCTTTGATGTTGCTCTTATCTGCTGGCTCTGCCAGAGAGCTGTAGACTTTCAGTTTATTCTGGAGTTGCTGAGGATCATTCCTCCTGCTCACCACCTGTTTCACTGTTTACTCATCTGGGCAGATACTGTATAGCATCAGAGGGAGCCTTCACCTTCAGATCAGGAAAAAAGACAATTATCCCTTCCCATCCAGGAGTAGATAATACAAAAGAACATCACACAAGAGGCCTTTCATTGGGTTGTTTTTCTTCCAAGTTACTCCTGATGATGTGCTCACTCCCCAAGTCTCTCAGCTTGCTCCTCACACACCTGTTTTCCTATGGGCCTCTGTCTCTCCCTTTCCCTTGAGCCTCCAGGTCTCCATCTTCCTACACCCACTTTAAAAGTTCTTCATGGAGTCCAGCTCCTTCTGCTGGGCCCCAAAGCCTCCAGGTTCCATCTTCATGAATGGGTGGATTTGCTTAGATGTCAGCCGCTGGCTGCTGGCACTTCTCTGCATGCCTCTTGTGGGGGACGGGGACAGCGGGTCTCCATGTGCTGCCTGCGCCTGCAAGCACAGCTCCTGCAGCTCCCATTGGCTGCTTCCTGGGCCATGGGTGCTGTGTGGACGGTGCTGGTGGCAGGGGCATCGGACGGAGCCCCCTCCCCCCGACAGGGGCACGCAGAGACGTGCCAGCAGCCAGCCACTTCCGGGAGTGGCGTGGGGCCATGGCAGGTAGGAGAGCCTGCAAAGAGCCGCAAGGGGGTAGCTAAAGAGCTGCATGCGGCTCCGGAGGCGCAGGTTGGCAACCCCGGGTATAAAGAGTAAAGATAGAAAGGGTCACAAGCAAACAAAAGTAAAAATACTCTTCTGAGACTAAAGATTTATTATAGCAAGTTACAATCTTTGCATCAGCAGGTTTCTCACCTACACTCACTTCCCAGAGACTTCAACCCCCTTGGCTGAAGAATCAAACATTCTGTGATTTCAAAAGCTCTGGCCCCTCAAATCCCTCAAGCGACAGGTGCCAAAATGGCTGTCTGTCCCTGCTTATGTCTCCCAAAGTTCACTGACCCTGTTACAAGAGGCAGGAAGGCTTCCTGCCGTGCTGTCTCTGTCCCCTGTGTGGATTGGCAAGTGGTCATCTTCCCCCATTTCTTCTCCTGATAGCTTTGTTTACCTTGGATGTAAATGTACCTTCATTGTCTCTTCCTGACGATCATAGAATCATAGAATCATAGAATATCAGGGTTGGAAGGGACCTCAGGAGGTCATCTAGTCCAACCCCCGGCTCAAAAGCAGGACCAATCCCCAATTAAATCATCCCAGCCAGGGCTTTGTCAAGCCTGACCTTAAAAACTTCTAAGGAAGGAGATTCCACCACCTCCCTAGGCAACGCATTCCAGTGTTTCACCACCCTCCTAGTGAAAAAGTTTTTCCTAATATCCAACCTAAACCTCCCCACTGCAACTTGAGACCATTACTCCTTGTCCTGTCCTCTTCTACCACTGAGAATAGTCTAGAACCATCCTCTCTGGAACCACCTCTCAGGTAGTTGAAAGCAGCTATCAAATCCCCCCTCATTCTTCTCTTCTGCAGACTAAACAATCCCAGTTCCCTCAGCCTCTCCTCATAAGTCATGTGTTCCAGACCCCTAATCATTTTTGTTGCCCTTCGCTGGACTCTCTCCAATTTATCCACATCCTTCTTGTAGTGTGGGGCCCAAAACTGGACACAGTACTCCAGATGAGGCCTCACCAATGTCGAATAGAGGGGGACGATCACGTACCTCGATCTGCTCGCTATGCCCCTACTTATACATCCCAAAATGCCATTGGCCTTCTTGGCAACAAGAGCACACTGCTGACTCATATCCAGCTTCTCGTCCACTGTCACCCCAGGTCCTTTTCCGCAGAACTGCTGCCTAGCCATTCGGTCCCTAGTCTGTAGCTGTGCATTGGGTTCTTCCGTCCTAAGTCCAGGACCCTGCACTTATCCTTATTGAACCTCATCAGATTTCTTTTGGCCCAATCCTCCAATTTGTCTAGGTCCTTCTGTATCCTATCCCTCCCCTCCAGCATATCTACCACTCCTCCCAGTTTAGTATCATCCGCAAATTTGATGAGAGTGCAATCCACACCATCCTCCAGATCATTTATGAAGATATTGAACAAAACCGGCCCCAGGACCGACCCCTGGGGCACTCCACTTGACACCGGCTGCCAACTAGACATGATCACTACCCGTTGAGCCCGACAATCTAGCCAACTTTCTACCCACCTTATAGTGCATTCATCCAGCCCGTACTTCTTTAACTTGCTGACAAGAATACTGTGGGAGACCATGTCAAAAGCTTTGCTAAAGTGAAGAAACAATACATCCACTGCTTTCCCTTCATCCACAGAACCAGTAATCTCATCATAGAAGGCGATTAGATTAGTCAGGCATGACCTTCCCTTGGTAAATCCATGCTGACTGTTCCTGATCACTTTCCTCTCCTCTAAGTGCTTCAGGATTGACTCTTTGAGGACCTGCTCCATGATTTTTCTGGGGACTGAAGTGAGGCTGACTGGCCTGTAGTTCCCAGGATCCTCCTTCTTCCCTTTTTTAAAGATTGGCACTACATTAGCCTTTTTCCAGTCATCCGGGACTTCCCCCGTTCGCCACGAATTTTCAAAGATAATGGCCAATGGCTCTGCAATCACAGTCGCCAGTTCCTTTAGCACTCTCGGATGCAACTCGTCCGGCCCCATGGACTTGTGCACGTCCAGCTTTTCTAAATAGTCCCTAACCACCTCTTTCTCCACAGAGGGCTGGCCATCTATTCCCCATGTTGTGATGCCCAGCGCAGCAGTCTGGGAGCTGACCTTGTTAGTGAAGACAGAGGCAAAAAAAGCATTGACTACATTAGCTTTTTCCACATCCTCTGTCACTAGGTTGCCTCCCTCATTCATTAAGGGGCCCACAAGCTGGTCAGACAAGCAAATACACATTCCTTTTTCTGGGGCAGACAGGGTTTATGCATTGCTTGCCAAACACATTTTAAGAACATAATTCTAGCAGATATTTGTAACAGAGATGCAAGATTTCCTGACTAAGCTGGGTGTTCTAAACCTAACTTATCTAGATCTTCCCTGAGGAGAAGCTAAGTTTTTCAGACTGTTTGTTTTGCTTTACTACTATTTCCTCTCTGTTTTTAATAACTCTGGCCTTTAACACAATTATTTGTCTGCATGGGTTAATGTCCCAGAAAGGCAAGTATCCCTTATCCTTGAAGGAGAGGTAGTGAAAGGTAAAGAGTTTCCGGAACTCAGCTTCCACTTGGAACAAAGGCTCCTGGGCATGGACAAAGAGGTCCTTCCTCAGAGAGTCTATCGCTTAGGGCTGTGGTCAGAGACACCCACGGGAAGAAGCCTGAAGAGCAAGAAGGAGACAAGAACTGCTGTGGAGTGCAAGTGACCACTGCAGCAAGGAATTTTCACAAGTAACACAAGCAGTACACCCAGGGATGAGCTGCCAAAATCAGAAGAACCGGTTCCTTCACTCGCTCCGGGTCTTCAGCGGCACTGAGGGACCAGCCATTGAAGTGCCGCCGAAGACCCGGAGCACCACCCGGTGAGTAAAAAGGGATTCTCAGCCAGAGGAGCCTCCCCAGCCGGGAGTTCAGGTGGGCTGGACAGGACGGTAGTTTGCCCAACTCTTTAACAACTGGTTCTAAACCAGCTTCAAAATTTAACAACCGGTTTCTGTGAACCGATGCAAACTGGCTCCAGCTCACCACTGAGTACACCATATAATTGGAAATAGGTAGGGAAGAGCCAACCACCTGGGAAAAAATAAACATCTGTGCAAAACCTGGGATTCGAGTGGAGATGGTGGAGGACTGGTTAGACTGAGGAGAGGTTCGGGGAAGGGAAGGTTTTCATCAGGGAAGAAGGAGCTAGTTTGTTTGGGAGAAGGCAGTATCATTATTCACTCTTTGTCCTGTGAGAGTGTCTACAAGCCCAGTCACGAACCAGGACCCTACTGCACTAGGTGCTGTACAAACAAAGAACAAAAAGAGAGTCCCTGCCCCAAAGAGCTGACAATCAAAATAAGAAGGTAGGGAAGAAGATGTAAAATGGAAAGTGAAATTGTGAGGAGAAGGGCAGGCTCAAAAGATCCTATGAAATGTTGGGTGTTTGTCCAAACCTGAACTCCGATTTTAATTAATTAATTAATTAATTGATTGATTGATTTTGAGGCTCGCCCTCTGCTAATAT